CGCTGTCGTCCGTCGGGAACAACAACAAGTCCTCGCCAACGGGCCGCAGGGGCAGTGTCAGCAAGCTCACGTCCCGCAAGCAGCAGCGTGCCGCGCACAAGGTCTGGCCCCGTCGTGTGCTTGTGGTGTTCTGTGCTCTCTGTGTGTGTGTGTGTGTGAAAATTCAGAGCTCTTTCTGTTCCTCTACTTGCCTTCCTCACCACCATTCCCACCTTTCTGTTCCTCACGCAACCACCATCACCATGATCGCGTGCAGCCCGGGATCCCGTCACTGCCGATCCGCAACGAGACGCAGGCGCAGGTGCAGCGGGAGCGCTCACGAGTGAAGGACATTCGCGCAAAGGTCATGGCCGCACGCGTCATCCAACGCGCATTCAGGTCAGCGAGCCGCAGCAGTGCTACTGTTGTGGTGTGGATGTGTTTTTGGTGGCTAATGTGCGTGTGCGATCTTGTTAACTGTAGCTGTATTTGTGCTGTGCTTCTGTTCTGTGCGCAGCTGGTGCTCACTATCGTGCATTCTCTCCTGCACCATGACATCTTGCGCCTTCACCTCCTGCATCGTCATCGCCATCATCATCATCGTTGTGACCACTGCCAGGCGGTGGCTGTTCCATCCGGAGCGCCAGGTGCCGAGTCCCGTCCACTCGCCGCAGCGCCCGCGGGTAAGGGCATGGCACTCGTCGTGCTGGTGCTGGTGCTGGTGTAGACTGGTTACTCGTACTTTTTGCACTGCTCGCTTGCATTTGTATGTGTGTGTGTGTGCGTGTGTGTTTGACTCGGCTGTGCTTGCTGACGACACAGCCATTCTTAACTGTTGCAACAGGTGTTTGAGGGCACGGTTGGCTTCTCAGTGGACGAGAACGACAAGCGGCAACAGATTGCTGCGCTCACCATCCAGCTCGCCTGGCGCCAGTACATCGGCAGAAGGGTCCGTCGTCGCTGCCATGGCTTTGCGAAATTCGTGTGTGTGTGTCTGTGTGTGTCTGTGTGTGTCTGTGTGTGTCTGTGTGTGTTTGCTTCTGCCAGGTGTAACCGCCATGACATACTGCCACACACAATCACAACCATCTCAAACACCACCAAATCTCACACTACACTCCCCCTCCCCAATTGCAGGCTGAGCGCGAGGCCCGCCAGACATCGCTGAACCAGTCGCTCGCGCGGCAGATGGCGAGGCAGCGGCAGCAGAAGGCCGTCTACGACAGCACCGTGCCCGTCGTCCAGTGGAAGCCGGTGCGTGGCGGCGGTTGATGGTCGTGGTGGTGATGGATGGGAGGAGGATGAGGAAGAGGCTCTACTGCATGCCCATTCTTTGGTGCTGAAAGTGTCCCACTCACAAGCACACACACACACACACACACACACACACACACACACACACACACACACACACACACACACACACACACACACACACGTACGTTGTGTGGTGCAGACGCTAGCGCCGATTGTGCGGCCGCTCGAGTTCCGGTCGCTGCCATCCCCCGCCGTCACGTCGTTCACAATGGCGCTCAACACATACACGCAGCCGTTTGCCGATATCCAGGTCAGACAGAGATGCGCGCGCGCCAAAAAAAAAAAAAAAAAAAAGAAAAAAGAAAAAAGAAAAGGGAGAGGGGATCTAAGAATGTGCTGCTTGCTGCGTGCTGTTGGCTGATTGTTGTCGCTTGGCGAAAGTTTGGCTCGCTACTGGGTTGTTCTTCTCACGAGATCATAAACACACACACAAACACACACTCTCTCACACTTTCTCACCGCATGCACACGTCCCACTTTCCCTTTGCTCCCACTGCACCCTGCAACCGCCCAATGCTTCGAATCGTCAGCGGCACCGGCTGCAGCGGGCAGAGGAGATGCTCCGTCTTCGCCAGGAGGACGCCGAGCGACGACTCATGCAGACCGAGGAGAGGGTGAGCACGCCGTGTGTATCTGTGTGTGTGTGTGTGTGTTTGTGTGTGTGTGTGTGTGTTGTGTGTGTGTACGTTCGTACGTACGTACGTGCAAGCTCTGTGTGCGTGCCGCCACACCTTCAAATTGAACCACAACGGCACATTTAACCTTTATGCTCACCGTCGCTTCCTCTGCAGATGCGCTCCGTGCTGTCTCTCACAGCGCAGCGGCCAAGCACCGCGCTGCTCTGTGCGTTCTCCGCCAATGTCGCTGCCATTGCATTTGCATGCATTTGACTGCATGCACGTACATGCACGCCCTTGTTTCCACTGCACCACTGCCACTAAGCTTCATCTTACCCGCCACAAAAATATTCATTCTTCCACACGTCCTTCTCACCAACAACACACGCATGCAGATCCGGTAATTGAGAGCGACCACGAGGACGCGGTTGCGTATGAGCAATTCCAACACGATCTCCACCAATCACAACAACAACAACAGCAGCAGCAGCAGCAGCAGCAGCAGCAGCGCCGCACACGTGTGGATCCGCATGAAATTGTCCGCCAATATCAGGCCAAGCGGGGCATTGTTGCGTGACACGCGCTGGTGAATGGGATGGTTGCGCGCTCTGGTTGGCCTGCTTCTCGCCGCTTTGCGCTGTTTTGAGCGTTTCTGTTCTTGAATTGCCCCTTTGCTTGCTTGATGCCTTGCTTGCTTCCAATGCTCTGTGTTCTCTTCACCTCTTTAATCGATTGTGTTCATGTTCTTGCGTGCGTGCGTGCGTGCGTGCGTGCGTGCACGCCAATGTTCATGTCTTGCGTGTTTGCCTGTGGTCGCGTTTCAATGAATTGCCAAAGGCAAGGGTTACGGAATGCACGCACGTGGACACACATGTGAAAAGTTGTGATTTTTCTGGGAACGAAAGCAGTGGGGTTTCGGTTAACACAAGTCAGTCAGGTGATGAAGGATGATGAAACGTGCAGGCTAGGAATGGCGGCAGAGTACAACACAAAGCAGCACACAACACACACGCACACAATACACAATCAGAGCGTCCCAAAGTAAGCACGCTCATGCATCTGCGGGCGCAGAGAGCATTTGACGAACAAGTGCCAGGGTGACGCGAACACTGGTGGTGGCGCCAGTTCGATACAGCGCAGCCAGCAGGGCCTTTGAATACGCGCTGCTGCCGTCCAGCTGTTCAAAACGGAAAAGTGAAGACACAACACAGGAAAGAACGCATGGGTGACATGACGAAAACGAACACAATAGGTGAGACGGATGCGAACCCAGCGAAACCCACACCACACGCCACTGCCCAAACACCTTAAGCATCACTCCACGAATCATCATCACGATCACCCACACCACCACCATGACCAGAACACACGCGAACGCACCAAGATCTGTGTGATGATGCCTGTGTCCTCTTGGCGGGTAATGTGCACGTGGCGCCTGGAAGAGGTTCGCCCGCTCAGCACAGAGAGCTTCACCTCCACCGCTGTCGCAGAAACAGACTTCGCAAGTAAGGTAGGGGGAGGGGTGTGGTGCAGGATGAAGTGTGAGTAAGATGGGTGAAGGTGAAGGCGAAAGCGGTGCATCCGAATTGTCGGTTAGCGTTCCGCAAAGTACACGAGCCGCCAACACTAAATAGCAACAACAACAACAACAACTTAAACAACAACAACAACAACAACTTAAACAACAACAACAACTTAAACAACAACAACAACTTAAACAACAACAACAACAACTTAAACAACAACAACAACAACAACAACTTCAAAACAGCAGCACCAGCAAAGTTTAACGCACGAGAATCTCTGCGCCGGCGAGTTTGCTGACGGTGCTGACGGCTGCAAGCACATCTGCCCGCTTCTGGTTGAGCGCGGCCGCCACGTGTCCTGCACACGCCTCCACCTCAGCTGTTGATGTGCAGAACCAAGTGGTGGGCGCTTGTCGTGAGATTCATCGGAACAGCGGCGATAGAGTGGTTTGGACATGCATGGGTGGCAGCACGCAAGGCGCTGGCATGATGCCAACATGTGCAGCGTTTCAGCAAACCGTCAACTGCTCCAAACTCCACCTTGCAGTTGTTCCTTGCGCGTGGTTGCTTGTTGGAGTGTGGCCTTGCACGCCTCAACTTTATCGCTGTGCACACGCGCGAAATCCCTCTGCTCCTCAATACGCTGGCGACACGTGTCCACCTGCGACTGCAACGACTCCACATTCTCCTGCAGTCCAGGGTGCACCATGGCGGCAACGGACACGAGAGTCAATGAGGAGGCACACATGCTCGGGATACAGCACGTCATGCTTGAATGATTTGTTGTGATAAATGCACGCGTGCGACCACTCTTCATCCACTCACGTGTGAGAGCGGCTGCGAGTTTTCTTGTCCAAGTCGCTCTTGCTGCTGTCGCAAACGCTCCCGTTTCTAAATCATGGCGTGTTGATGCAATTGAAGTTTTCGGTGAGCGTGCACCGTGGGATTTGAGCGCGATAAAGAGACGTCGGTTATTCACACATGCGAATGGCGGTATCACAGTAAACAGTGACTGTTCGTTGCCATGCCCTCACCTCCTGTACACGTTGCTCCAATGCCTTGAACTTTTCCATCATTGAAAGTGCATCCGCGCTTTGTTGCTGTAATGGCGCGATGGGGGGTGTTGAGTGGATCAGCAAACGCACAAATCACACACATGACGCATAACACCCGCCATCATACGCACTGCGCAAGCCCACGCTACACCCGCTCCCCAACTCCACGCGCGCATGTCAAACACACTTGGAATTCGTCTCGCTTGTCCAGGACGGCGTGTGCTGTTTCCTGGATGGCGTCTTGCAAGTCTCTGTTGGCTGCCTTGATGCTCTGCACTTGCGCCTTTGTCTCTGTTTTGTCCTCTTCACTCACACCGCACGCTGGCGTGGAGCCAATCTCGTACGTTCCCAGCTGTTGTGTGTTGAAAATAGATGGAGGCGAGCAACACAACAGTCAGTGCAGACAAGAACGAATGCAAGCGTGTGATGGGAGGTGACACGATAACATCGTAATGGACGCGTGACTCCTCACACCTTGTCCAGAAAGCCAGCTTTTGTCTTCATCTCCACAAAGTTGAACTTGAGCTTGGACATGTGATCCTGCATTCCAGAAGAAGGAGGGGGTGTTTGTATATCAGTGAGTGTAGCGCTGTGTGTATGTGTCCACGCGTGTAAGTGGCACTGTGTGTGGGCATGTCTATGTGAGCTTTACCTTGGCCATTTGAAGTTCAGACTCGATGTTCTCGTCACAGTCCTCTGCGCGGCGAACGCTCTCTGCAAAGTTGGGCTCCGCCGCATTGACATTGTCAATGAGCCTGGTTGAGAACACTCAGAGAACGTGAGGTGGCCATTGCCGCGTGACCAAACAGGCACACATGCAGAAGACGTCCGATGCACCACACACACACAAATGTACGCACGCAAACACACACACACACACATGTACGCACAAATGTACGCACATGAACACACACACACACACACAAATGTACGCACATGAACACACAGCCACACACATACACACACATACACACACAGCCACACGTCAACGCACGTCTGCATCGACGAGGCGACCTCCATCTTGCTTGCTTGGTCTCAATTTTGAAAAGTTGGCGGTTGAGAAAATGATGATTTTCCATATCTTCACGTAATCTTCACCAACAGCAACCAACCAAACAACCAAGATGGACGAGGAAGCGGTGCGCACTCTGCTGGCTGAAGGCAACATCGACGGCCTTGTTCAGCACTGCACCGACATTGAACTGGACGTGAGTGTGTGTTGGAGAAGAGGGGGTGGGGGCTTATTGATGGAGAGAAGGAAGAAGGGTACAAAGAGAGAGTGTGTGTGTGATGAGCTCAGAGAAGGGAGAAGAATGCATCTGCGTGCCGTGTCCTTCATTTCACACCACAGCTCAATTGTTTTGACTGCTCGTTTTCTTCTTCACATCAACACACGACAGGAGAAGAGCTCACCAAAAGGCGTGGCGCCAGGCAACGTTTACTTGGTCCTGCTCCTGGCCCACCTCATTCAACATGATCTGTGAGTAGAGAACTGTGCATCTGTGTGTTCTGTGTGTTCTGTGTGCGTGTGTTGGGGGGGGGGGCCGCCTTGTCGACAAAAATGCTGCTCATGCTTACTTGTCCCTCTTCGACATCCAACCCATCAATCATTGTCGACAGGAGTTCCGCACGGTTCTTGTGGAAGAGAATACCCCAAAGCGTCAAGCAGGTGTGCTTGTAGTTGCTGTGTATGGTGTTTGTGTACACGTGTGCGCATTTGCATGTTCTTGAAGGCTGAGGTGTGTTGAGCTGACGCTGCACACCCAACGCTTCGACGTGCGTACGCCACCCAGGAGTGCCCCGAGTTGATTGCTGCGTGGCAGATTGGACAGGCGTTGTGGAAAGGCATCTCGCCCAGAGATGCGCTCACAGCATACTCCTGGAATCCACTCGCCACAGCGCTCGTCGCAGAGCTCAAAGGTCTGTCATAATTGTGTGCTTTGTTTCGTGTTTTGTTTCATGTTGAGTGTGTTTATGTTTGTGCGCGTGTGTTTGTGTACGTGTGTGTGTGTGTGTGTGTCGGATGGCGAGACGCTGTTTCGTGTGCTTCGTGCTGTAGAATGCCTTGTGCTGCTGCCTTGTCACTTGTGTGGTGTGAACCATGCGATGCGATGCGATGCGATGCGATGGGGAAACAAACAGAGGCGATTGTGACGCGGGCATTCAAGAAGATGACCAAGGCATATGCTACAGTGGACATGGACACAGTCTTGAGGAGCACCGGCATGTCGGAGGCAGAGTGCATCAAACGTATGCCTCTGCATTGCGTGTATGTGCGTGCTTTTGTGTATGTGTATGTGTACCTTTTGTTTGTTGTTTGACATGGCACGGCAGCTCACACATCTTCCGCACTGCATCACGCATCATGTCCAGATGCAACGACGGTGATGCAGTGGGAGTATGATGCACAGGCACGCGCGTTCACCGTGAAACGGGAAGGTGAGGGCTTGACACCATGCATACCTGCTTGCCTTGTTCTGTTTTGTCAGCTGATCATTGCTTGCTGCTGCAGTTCTTTGCTTGCTGCTGACGTTTGCTTGCTGCTGCTTTTCCATCTCACCCACTCTCCTTCGCTCCCTCTCAGAAGAGGGGACAGATAGCAAGGCAACAGGAGCAGCAACCCTGCTCACAGACAGCGGACTGGCCGCCCTCACAGAGACGGTCGTCGCACTCGAGGCGTGAAGCAAGGATGAAGCAGGAGGAGCGAAGCAGAAACGTTTGTCGCAGGAAGACACACACAACACACACACACACACACACACACACACACACACACACACACACACACACTCTCTCTCTCTCTCTCTCTCTCTCTCTCTCTCTCTCTCTCTCTCTCTCTCTCTCTCTCTCTCTCTCTCTCTTTGTGCCTTTGTTTGTATGGGACGGGCCCAATTCGTAAGGGAAGAATAAAGAATTTTGCAGCAGGCGAAATGCGCCAAGAAGAAGCAAAGCAGAAACACAAACACACAACAAAGGCAACCACCCACCACAGCACCTTCTGTCCTTCTCTTCTGTCCTGATGAGGATGAAGTGGAAGGGAGCGAGAGGAAGGGGTGTCATGGGACGGCGGCTGGCGATCGCCATCGCCCTCCTCTTTGCTGTAACAGCCACCGTTGCCACTGTATGGGGTCCACACCAAGCAGGTAACAAAGGGCGAGAGACAACGGAGGGGCGATCGCGCGATGGGAGGGTCTGTTGTCTCTTGTTGTGTCGCGTGCTTTTGGAGCTCACACTTGCGCTGTGTCACGCGTTTCGGTCTTCAGGTGCCGTGGGCGAGATGTGCAACAAGGGAGGAGGAGGAGGACAAGACTGTGCACAGGACGGGAGCGAAGTGTGCCAGAGCGGCTCGTGCGTGTGCGCCGCAGGTATGTCAAATGCCAGCATGCAGGCACACAGTTGCGTGGTTGCGGACAGATTTGGGATGCGTGGGTGGATGCTGTGGGTGAGTGAGTGACGGTTTGGTGGCTCACTTGTAATGGTGTGTGTGTGTGACTTTGCAGGGTATGGCTACACGGGTGACGATTGCGTTGAGTGCGGGTTTCAATTCTACAAGTCCTCCGCCGGTGATGAAGCGTGCAGCGAGACAATTCGGTGCGACAAGGGCGAACGGTGGTTCAAGCCATCGAACACCGAGGACGCCACGTGTCCAGGCTGCCAATCGGGTGAGTCACACCGCGTGGATCGCTGCATCACCACCTTGTATTGCATGCAGTGAAGAATGCACTGCTTTCATCCTCTGTTCACACATCGTCGCGTGTCTAACAACATCATCACGCCATCATCAGGCAAGTATCAGGACAAGACTGGTCACCGCGACACGCAATGCTACGACCCCTCCACGTGCGAGGCTGGGAAGTACGTGACGCAGGAGCCCAACACGAAACAGGACCGGGAGTGTGGCCTGTGCGAACCAGGCAAATACACCGCCATCGCCAACCAGCCAAGCTGCAGAAACTGTCCCGGTGGCAAATACCAGAACGCCGAAGGGCAATCAGGTATGTGTGTGTGCGTGTGCGCCCTCGATCTGTGTGTAGTGTCGGTCGTGTGCTGTCTCTGCCCGCTTGTCTTTTCCCTCCGAATGTGCTCACACCTCCACCATTCACGCCGCCATGCAGGATGCAAAGACCCGACCGTCTGCATGCCTGGCGAGTACATCAAATCTGATCGGACCCCTACCACGAACCGATACTGCTTCAAATGTGTGGCCGGCACATACATCGAGACAAGGCAGGCTTCAGAGTGCAAGACGTGCGACAGCGGGAAGTACCAAGACCGTGATGGTCAAACAGGTGAGCTGTGGCTTCAACCGCAGTGGATGCGCCGTGACTGATGTGTCTGACTTTGCGTGTAAGGCAATCCTCGTTTGCACCCTGGAACCCACCAGCGCACTCACACCTCCCCACATCTTACCACCCATTTCCAGAGTGCAAGAACTGGCGCACGTGTGGGCCGGGAAAGAAGTGGAAGGCTGGCTCAACTACCGATGACGCAACATGCCCAAACTGCGGGCCAGGTGTGTGTGCGTGTGTGCTTGTTCTTCCACGTTCCCTCCTGACATTCGTGCGTTTCATCTCCACCCCTTCTCATTCCTCAACCCACCCATCTTCTTGGCTCGCACCGCTCCTACTAGGCAAGTACCAAGACGAGACCGGCCACCAGGAAAAGTCGTGCAAAAAGTGCCCAGAAGGAGAGTTTCAACCTGGCAGTGGCGCCTCAAGTGAGTGCTATCATTGTGTGCGTGTGTGCGTGTGTGCGTGTGTGTCATGTGCACATAACACTCGACTGCTTGCATCTCGTGTCTCTCTCGATCTGTTTCTGTGAGTAAGCGGAACCAGCACCATTCCCTTCTTACTCACATGTTTGTGTCTGCTTTCCTCGCATTGTGTCACTACCCAAACTCACACAATATCATCAAGGCTGCGAGGCGTGGATGACCTGCGGACAGGGGCAGAAATGGACCAAAGGCTCCGCAACAGAGAACGCGGGATGCTTGCCATGCGGATCACGTAAGCGGCAACCCCTGCAACTGCAATGTCAAGGACAGAATGGTCATGGCTGCAGCGTTATGTGGTGCAGTATCCTCTCCCCCCTCACACGCCACCTTATCCCTTCCCCCTCCCCCCCTCTTCTCGCCGACACCGTTCCTCTGACCCTTCAGAGGAGTACCAATCCAAGATCGCCCACCAGGACAAGTCGTGTGACCCCTGGACAACGTGCAGCAGCGGCTACTACGTGACCGCCGACCCCACCTCCTCATCCGACAGGACTTGCGACAAGTGTGATGCCGGCACATACGGCGACGCCATGAACGCAGACAGCTGCAAAGGCTGTGGCACAGGCAAATACCAAGATGCCTCTGGCCAAACAGGTATGTTGAACTGACTCGATGCCGATGCAGCGCGTCGCTCATGTCTTGTGTTGTTAGCCTTGTCGTGCGCTTCTCTCATGTCCTCCTTGCCTCATTCCTCTTCTTCTTCTCCCACTCCCTCTTGAATGTCACTCCAGACTGCAAGGAGTGGAAAATGTGCGGCCAGGGCGAGAAATGGACAACGGGATCATCCACAGAGGATGCAACGTGCTCGCCGTGCAGTACACGTGAGTCGAAGACAGCAACAAGGGTGAACATGGGACACCGTGATCATATGGTGTGCACGCGCTTGTGCCATGCATGATGTTGGGTTGTGCTGTTGTTGCATTTCTTGACGAAGCACGCTGTTCTTTGCACAAGCACTTCAACTCACTCACTCACTCACTCACTCACCCACTCACTCACCCACTCACTCACTCACTCACTCTCCCTCCCTCCCTCCTCACTAACTCACACGCACACACGCACGCTCGACGTCTTTTCATTCCCACACTGTCACACCACGCATTCCTATTGTGCAGTTCACTACCAGTCCAAGACTTCGCACCAGGACACCTCGTGTACCTCGTGGTCCACGTGTGGCCCGGGGTATGAGGTGACCATCGAACCGACAGCCAGCAACGACCGCTTGTGTGCAATGTGCGATTACGGGCACTACCAGGATGGCACGAACCAGCAGGACTGCAAGCCGTGTGATCCTGGCCAGCACCAAGACGAGCGCGGGCAAACAGAGTGCAAGGCATGTGGTGCAGGCAAATACCAGGGCAGCTCTGGCGAGAAAGGTGCGGGGCAAGGTGGTGCTAGCGATGAGCTGCACCCGTGGCGATGTTGGGGCGTTTTCTGGCTGTGTTGCCCACCTTCAACACCTCGTGCACATCTTACTCACATCCGTCTTTCTCCCTCCGCACGTTTTCCGACAGACTGCATCACATACAGCACGTGTGATGCAGGAACCAAGTTTGTCACTGGAACCACGACGGAGGACCGCACATGTGTACTGTGTGAAGCAGGTGGGTTGCACCTGTGCTTCTCGTATCTCTTTGCCGCTGTGTTCACGTCTCTGTTACACCCTTTGCTTGCTTGCTTCTTCCCCTCGCATGCCACTCACACTAGGTCGTGCTCCTCATCTTGTGCATTGCCTGCAGGCAAGTTCCGTGCCGATACCGGCCACAGGCTCTCGAAATGCGAGGCGTGTGCCGACGACACGTTTCAATCGGACGAAGGACAAAGCAGCTGCATGGTGTGCAATGAGTGCGATCCTGGATACGTTATTGACCAGGATTGCACACCAACAAGCGACCGCACATGCAAAGGTGCCGATGGCGTTTGGCGATACCAACTGCTTGCATGGTGACACGTTCGCTTGCCTGCAAGCACGCTTTTGCCTTCTTCTCATCCAACCGCCCTGTATTTCACTGCAGACATTGCAAAGCCCACCATCGTGCTGCGGCGACCAGACAACAATGAGGAAATTCAAGACACATATGTGGTCGAGGCCACGTTTGCCTTTGATCCCCCGATCTTCACGGCGACAGACACGGCGGCTGGCACCGTGACGAAGACGCCACCACCCAACATCGACGACATTGACACGAGTGAGTGCGTGAATGCCGTGAATAGATGTGGTGCCCTTCTGGGTGCGGTTGATCACTCGCTTCTTGGTTTGCACTGCATCTTGTTGCATCTTGTTCTCACACGGATCTCACCTCACACACACACACACATACACACACGCACACACATACACACACGAACACATACACACACACATACACACGCACACACATACACACACACAATACGCATACTACACCACACGCACAGGCACCGTGCGGTCTGACCAGATGCTGACGTACAAGGCGACGGATGCGAACATGAACACGGCAACACGTGACATCACCGTGGAAGTCGTGGACACGACAGGGCCCGCCATCACATTTGACCCTGCAGTGCTGCAGCTGGAGGCCGGGGAGGAGGTGATGCGCAGCAACTTCACGGCCGGCGTTTCCATCGTGGACCGCGTGGACGGAACACTGGGCATCAACCTGCTGGAATACGATGCCAGCGACGTGAACGTGAACACGCTGGGCATGTACGAGGTGGTGTACACGCTGTCTGCACCCGACTCGAACGACAACGAGGCGCCGCCCACCACACGCACAGCAGCCGTCGTCGACACCCTTCCCCCAGTGAGTTTGTGTGTGTATGTGTGTGCCTGTGTGTCTGTGTGTCTGTATGTGTGTGTGTGTACATGAGTGTGTTTTTGTTGTGTTGCGTGCCTTCATCTATGTGGACACTCACTTCCCCCCTTGCCTCCGTTTCTCCTTACCTCCGAGTCTCCTCGCCTCCCATTCAACTCTTTTATCTGTTTACTTCCTCACCAAACCCTGTCACACATTGCCAATCAATCACAGGTCATCACCATTGGTTTTGGCGACCGCAACGTGTCGGAACACAACGTGGTTATCCACGAGGCGGCAACAGAGTTTATCTTCCCGAGCCAGTCTGCATTTGATACATTCGACCCCGCTGTCAATGGCGGTGACGTGCGACGCAACGAAGAGCCGGTGCGTTGTCGCTCTTTTCCTGCGTCTTCCCTGTCGCTGGTGTGTCTTGACCACGTCATGCACCATTCCATCGCTTCCATTTCTCCCACTTCTCACTCCCCGTCTCACACACACTTTCTCCTCACCCTCACATTCCCCCGTCTCACACACCCTTTCTCCTCACCCTCACATTCCCCCGTCTCACACACACTTTCTCCTCACCCTCACATTCCCCCCCCACACCCACACACACACACCCCTGTTCGCAGACCTTCAGCTCGGTTGTGGACGACGGCACGCAGTTCACGTTCACGTACACGGCGACGGATGCATCGGACAACACGGCGATGGTGGTGTATGTGATTGAGGTGCGGGACACGATGGCGCCAACCATCACCATCAGCGGCGAGCACAACATCACGCACGAGGCCGGGACGGAATATGTCGATGCAGGAGCAACAGCAACGGACCTGCTCGAGGATGCGATTGGGCGCGGGGTGGAGGTGGTGGTCACCAACAACGTGTTGAGCAAGCCGCCGTCTGTGCCCGCGGTGTTCACGGTGGAGTACGACGCGTGCGACAAGGCCGGCAACTGCGACGCCATCAACCGCACCGTGCACGTGCTGGACCGCACGGCCCCGAGCATCGAGCTCATTGGCGACGCGCTGCTGGTGGTGGAGGCCGGCAGCAACTTCACCGACATCGACCCTGGCGTGACGCTGGCTGATCTGTACTACGACAACGCCGACCTGACGCTGGTGATTGACGATGGCGGGTACGAGGCGGCGCCAACCGCCACCCCGGTCTCCTTCAACGTCACATACACGGTGACAGACCCGTCCCGCAACACGGCCAGCGTCACGCGCACCATCACCATCATCGACACAACGCCGCCAGACCTGCGTGTCAACGGGAACCTGAGCGTGACGGTTGGCGACGGCGTGACGTGGGTTGAGCCGGGCATTGCACGTGCATACGACATTGTTGACCGCGATGTGCGATCGCGTGTGGTGGCGACGACGCAGCTTGAGGAGGCCGGCGTTGTTGTTCCCACCATGTGTGCGTACTCGTCTGCGCGCGCGTTTGTGCCGCCGCTGTCGCCGCGCGTGTGGTCTTCACCTCGAATGGACGCGGTGGAGTCGAGGGCGCCGAGCGGCACCGTGTACCGCATCAACTACACGGTGGCGGACGCAGCGAGCAACGTGGCGTTTGTGGAGCGCGTGGTGCAGGTTGCAGACCCGACGCCACCCTCGCTGCAGCTGCTTGGGGACCGGGTGCAGGCGCTGGAGTACGGCCCAGATGCGGCGTTTGTTGAGGCGGACGGCGGCGCAGTCTCTGCCGACACGCACGACGGCGACCTGAGCGGGGACGTGTGCGTTGGCGTGAGCATTGTGACGCGCGACGCGAGCGGCGTTGTTGCGCCAGGCGATGTTCGCAGTATTGGCGAAGCTGCCATCACCTACGTCCTCTCGCTTGCTCGCAACGCATCCACAACAACAGCACCACCTCCCACCACTTCCACCGCTTCCACAACTACGATGAACGCAGACACAAGCAACAGCAACAGCAGCAGCAGCACAGCGACAACGACCACTGCAGCTGGGACGACAGCTGCGGATATGTTTGGGCTGGACGCTGCTGTGGCGTCGGCGGAGGTGGGCACGGTGTATGTGCTGCAGTACAGCGTGCACGACCGGGCGGGCAACGCCGCTGTTGGTGTGCAGCGGGCGGTGGTGGTGGTGGACACGACGCCGCCCGAGGTGACGCTGTATGGCGCGGAGGAGGTGCACGTGCCGTATGCGACACGGTATGTGGAGGCCGGGTACAGCGCACAGGATGTGCACGACGGCAACGTGACGTCGCAGGTGGTGGTGAGTGGGGCCGATGCGATTGACGTGCACGTGGCGGGGACGTACGAGATTGAGTACGCGGTGACGGATGCGAACGGCAATACGGGTGTCGCGGTGCGGACGGTGGTGGTTGAGGCGCTGATGCGACCGGAGCGGGCGGACCAGGTGGTGGAGCTGGTGCTTGCAGGCACGGCGGAGTCCATCTTTGGCGGCGACGTGCAGCAGCTGGAGCGCGACCTGGAGGAGGCGCTGAATGTGGACTTTGTGGTGGTGTTTCTCGTCTACGACAAAGCCCTCGGTCGCCCCACCACCGACATCAACACAGTCCCACAGCAACAACAAGGGAGGAAGAGAAGGAGAAGCAGCGGTGGCAGCAGCCGTGACAGCGACAACAACGACAACAACTACAGCCACAACGACAACGCTGGGATCCGTGGACGGCGTGGGCTGTTGGCGCAGCCATCGACGGTGGTCGAGTTTGGGGTTCGCAACGGCACCAGCTTGGAGTGGGTGCCTGCCGACATCCTGCTTGCTCGGTTTGAAGGGCTCGAAACCCTGGCAGCGACTCGAATCACGTCTGTTGCCAGCGCTGCCAAGCGCGGCGGTGGAAGCGATGGTGGTGCTGTTGCAGGCGCCGTCGTTGGCGTGCTGTTAGTGCTGGTGGTGCTGGTCGCTGCCGTTGTTGTGTACAAGCGCCGGCCTGACCTGTTCAAGAGGAGCAGCGAGCCCAAGGACTCGTTCTCGGGCAAGAACACGCTGAGCATGGCACCTGGCCCGTTTGAGTTCCGCAACGGCGATGCAATGGAAATGACGGCTGGCACAGTGATGAGCACAACAGCGGGCGCCGCCGCCGCCGCCTCTCGCATGAACGGCGCTCGCAACCAGCTGTCCTCGGACGGGCACGTTGGCCAGCCCAACTTCTCTGACGAGTCAGACCACGACGACCCCTACAACAGCAGCAGCAGCAGCAGCGATGACGATGTTGGCGGCGATGGCTACGGGAGCGACGACGACACGGGGCCTGCCGTGTCAGAGGTGCGGTTCGCAGCGGACACGGGTGAACTCAGGCTGCTGGCATCGCGGCACAGCGGTGTGGAGCTGTACAGCGACCTGTGCTCTGCCAACGAAAGCAGCACGGACCCCAATCCAAAGACAGCGCCACCGGCCGGTCTCGTGGATGTCACGGAAACGCTGCGGGCAGGCGCGGCCACCACGGCCCATGTGCCCGAGCTCAACCTGTATGAGGATGTGAGCGAGACTGCACCTGTGCCCCCGTCACCGGCGCCTGTGCTTCCGCCGCGTGTTGCGCCTGCAGTGACGGACGACACAGACAACATGTACGACGTGCCCAAGAAGGAAGCTGTGAAGCCGAAGCACCCACCAGCGGGCGAGGCGTTGTATGAGGACGTGGAGGCAACGGGCAAACCCGTGGCCAGTGCCCCGCCGCCAGCAACCGCAGTGGCGTCAGAGGTTGATGACATGTACGACGTGCCACGTCGTGAGCCACGCGTCAAGGCTGGTGCGACCACCACGACACAGGCGACACCTGCTGCTACGACTGCGGACGTGGAAGATGACAACATGTACGACGTTCCGAAAGCGCGCGCGACATCTGGAACAGCTGCGTCGGCGGCAGCGCAGCAGCGGGCCGTGGACTTTGCACCAAGCCTGTACGAAGACGTGGACAGCCCCGTCATGCAGAGCAAGCCCTTGGGCCACACCGCCGCCACCGCTTCCAGCACCACCGCTACGACGGCAACGGGTGGCAGTGCTGGATCGGGAAGCGTGCGGAGACTGCCGCAGCCGCCGCGTGCTGCAACCGTTTCTTCAATGCCGACGGAAGCGCCGTCAAGCGCAGGCACGCAGGTGTACGAGAACCTGAAAGGCGAACCCACCGGGCAGGAAGCCGGTGCCAACCTGTACTCCGTGCCGCATGTGGCGCCTGCTTCCGGTTCAACTGCATCTTCGTCGCCATCAACGCTTGCACCGCCATCATCGGCAAAGTCGGCGACAACCACCCGCTCTGCAAGTGCGCGGCAGAGCAGGCCAAGCACGGACGGTGCTCATGGTGTCGGGAAGGCGTCTGCATCGACCAAGGAGCGTCGCACGCGCGCGCCCACAGCCACGAGCAAGCCCGACACCGTGAGACGCAGCAGCGGTAGCTCAGCGGCCGAGATCAGGCGATCGACGCTGCGGGCCGAGGACATGGCCAGCGAGATGGCGCAGAGTCCAGCATACCTGAATGCCGGTGCACAGGCTGGATTTGTTGGGTTTATGAACCGCAAGGAGGTGGAGGAGTTGCTGAGTGGGCGCGAGCAAGGCACGTACCTGTGGCGGCTGAGCAGGAACGCCCCGGGTGCCGTGCTTTCGGTTCACGGGCGCCACATTGTGGAGCACCACGTGTTCACGCGAGACGCGTCGAGCGGTGCAATTGTCATGAACATGAAGCCGCTGTCCACGACATGCACGACCCTCGACGATGTTGTTGCGCTGCTCGGGCGCAGCACGGAGCTCTCCACCGTGCTACTGAAAGAGCCCGCCGTGCCAGGTCTTTCCGAGGTCACGGCTTCCGAGGCATAACACGCACACGCTGTGTTGTGCTGTGCTGTGTTGTGTTGTGTTGTGTGAATCGTTTGAGGATACATACTGTTCGTTATGTTGCGTTCCATCACTTTACTTAACTGCCGTGTTTGGCTTTTTCAGTTATGTGTGCCACGCGCCTTTGGCTCCATTTTCCTTACGCCCAGTCCATGTTCCGCGATTTGTGGCGCGCTTGCCCCGTCTTGGTTACATTTCTGTGCTGCTGCCATCCCGGCCCTTAGTGTTTCTCGCTCCTGCTCATTCCTTTGCACCTCTTCTGTTATGTGCAGCTTCCGCCACATGATGTGCCTGTCATGTTACTGCCCGAGCAACGCGCGAACCGTGTGTTACCGTCCTATGCGTTTGTGTGCTTGCTTGACTTTTCGTTGGGTGTGAGAGCTGCTGCTGACTACATACACTTCCTACAACTGGCCCGCAGTGCTTGAGGTGGTGGGGTGTGACATGCGCGTGTGCTGGTGCTGTGCTGATGCTCATGTCGCAACCACACACAGACACAACCAAGCCACCCCCAACCACAAACACAAACACAAACACAAACAATCACCTGTCAAAATTGACAGGCGGGTGTGGAGGAAGGACTGTTCGTGAAGCCCAAATGTTGCACCCATGCGAACAAAAAAAGCAGGCGAGCAGCGATGATGATGACGGGAGTGTGCTCTGCTGCGTGAGATGACGAGGGGACACGCTGCCTGGCTCACATTGGGTGCGCACAGGCAGTGCAGCCCCGGCTTTAACGTTCATTTACCTCTCGCACCGTGTTCCAAGCCAACAACTTACAAGCTACAACCTGTCACGTCTCAGCCCCTCTCTCAGCGACGTTTCCTTTTTACCTCCTCCACGCTGCCAAGATGCTCGCCTTGGGGAAATGTGTGTTTGCAACTGTGCTCGTTGCGGCTGTGGCCCTGACTGTGGCCAACGCTGCTCCTCTGCAAGCACGGCTCTCACGCAACGATGAGCCCGCCTTCTGCCGCAGCCTGGGTAAGGACATGCAGAGTTTGGAGCGCGGTTGCTGGAGAAGGTGTTCGCTGGTGCCGCGTTGACTGACCCCAATTCATTCTGTGTCGCATGTTCCCACTTCGGTGTGTATAATGAACCTGCACACGCGGCTCATTCATTCAGCTTTGTGTACACATGTCTGTGTACTTGACCCCCGTGCTTGCTTTCCACCATCCCTCAGATTGCCCACGTTTCACGGTCGTCAACCGCACGGACACGTATGAGGTCCGCCACTACAGCGCGTCCCAGTGGGCACGCACCCAAGTTGAGAGCGCAAACTACACCACCGCCACCGCCATTGGTGAGGTGTTACGTGGTCGTGCGTGCGTGACGGTTTGTCGGTTCTTGCACGACTTCAGGAGCAGCAACAACAACCCACTTTATCCCCCAATGACACACATGCACACACACACATACACACACTCACATGCATGCGCACTCACTTGCTCACTCACACATACTCACGCACATACTCACACACATACTCACTCACACAACATGCATCCAGGTTTCCAGCGCCTGTTCAGCTACATCTCTGGTGCAAACGTTGATGTGAAGCACATTCCCATGACCGCACCCGTCACGGTTCAAGTGTACCCTGGCTCTGGCCCATACTGCAAGTCCACGTTCACCGTCAGCTTCATGGTGCCGTTCGCCTTCCAGCCAAACCCACCCAAGCCCGTGAGTTAACATTCAACACGACACAACACACACATGCAGCTTGCGTGTCGCATGCCACCGCGTGTCCACCACCCCGAATGCACATCCCAACACCCCAAGCACCGAGATGGAACTCAACACGAGCATGTCTTTGCCTCATGCCGTACACAAAATGTAATCGCACATGTTCCATGCTCACGAAACGCCTTTCTCTTCCCCTCTTCCGTCCTTGGCTGTCCCTTCACCTACTCGCTGCCATGCAGGCATCGAAGGACGTGTACATTGAGTCTGAGCCCGCGCACACCACCTATGTCACCAGCTTTCCTGGATTTGCCAAGGAGAAGGACGACATCGGTCACGCCGAAGCCCTCGCCCAGGTAGAGCACAGTAATGACGAGAATCGCAGCAGCCATGGGGTTGTGCTCTGTATGCCTGGCACGCACGAGCACTCAAACCCGGTCTGGCTGTGTCGATCGGTCATTGTGTTCTCTTGCTTACCTATCAATACTCGTCAACATTCCACCAACATCACACACTCTCTCGTGCTCGTGTGTGTGTCACTCACCTCTCACACACGCACACGCACACGCGCACACAACACTGGCAACAGGCGCTGACGAAGGACAACATCGCCTTCAACTCAACGGTGTACTACACTGCCGGCTACGACAGCCCCTACCAGCTGGTGGGCAGCCTTGCACGCGTGTCGCTTTGATTGCATTGGATCTGTACTCTTGTTCACTCACGCCCATCATATCTCGCATTCTTCTTGCTTGCCGTGTGTTCACTGTCCTCTTACCTTACCAATACCACCTCGTCTCACCTCGTCTTGTCTTACATATGTTGTCACACACGACATTGCAACGCTGTATCTAGTTCAACCGCCACAACGAGGTGTGGTTCTACGCCCCGGGTGCAACCCAGGAGTAATTGAGTCATGGAAGCGTGACGGGCGCGTGGCGGGAGCGCGATGAAGCCCGCCCTCATCATCATCATCATCATTATCATCATCATCATGATGGTCATCACGGATGATTCATCCGTTGTCCTTGCATTTGTTGACACGATTTTGTTCTATCATCACCATGTTTTGTGTTATGCCTCTGACAAGCCAACATCGTGCTGTGTTGTTCATCATGGCCATCATCATGCATTTGATGTTTATCTACCGCAACAACGAATACACAGCGTGTGCTGTTGCACCTGAAGCTGACACTGGGGGCGGGGGCGGGGGCAACGTAAGGGGATGCACATGGGCACGGTGCCACACACATGCAGAAGAGAACGCGAATCAAATGAAGCACACACATACACACAGACATACATACAGACACACACACACACACGCACACGCACACATTACGTGGCAAAGTTAAAGCTGAACGCGTGCACGGAACTTGCAGGCTTGGGGCCGTCTGCGAGACAGGACGCCGTCTCCACAGCATCACCAGACCCGTTCCCACACCGCTGTTGCTGCAGTCGCTGCTCTGCACGTGCAAGCACGTCGGGCGCATGCTGCTGCAAGGCTGCGCGGAACCGGCTCGCAAGGTCGGAGGGCCCCGCATGGGTCATATGGCGGGGCACACCCGTGTCGAGGAAGGAGAGGCAGCGGTGCAAGTTGGCCGGCCCAATGTAGTTGTGCGTGATGGCAACCGTCTCCTCCGTGTTGAGGACGAGGTGCCACCAGCCGTCGGGTATGAACACGGTGTCGCCCGGGCCGCACACGCACTCGCGCACGTGCCGGCGCAGGCGCGGGTCCGCGTGGATGTCGTCGTAGTACTGCAGGAACCACGCCATGACAGAGTCTGGCTGCTCCACGCGACCCGTCTCGGGGCACACGCATACGCCAGGCGGCGCAACGTGCGGCGGAAACATCACCCACTTCTTGCGCCCATACACGACCGTGTTCCAGGCGGAGGTGTGGTTCGGGTCGACGTGGAAGTTGGTGCCTGTGCGCGCTGGCCCCGCCAGCAGCCACCGCCAGTCTGGCCGCGCCGTGCCGAGGTGGGACATCAGGTCATGCTGGAAGTGTGGCGGCGTGGTGTATGCGTGTGCGAGCGTGCTGTTCTCCTCAATGTACCGCGGCTCAAACACATACAGGGGTCGCTCGTCCTGCTGCTGCCGCGCGTACGCCATGTACTGGCCCATTGTCATGCGGTGGGACCCAGAGTACTCATCAAACGCATCAAACAGCTGCTCCTCGCTCTCGCCGGCGCTGCTGCTGCCATGATCACCATGGCCAGCGTCGCTGCTTGTGGGGCGACGGAACTGCGACGCGATGCTAACCCGCGTCCACCTTCGAAAGGCCGGCCACTCTGCAGCGGCCCCTCGGATCACCACGGGCTGCCTCCGCTGCTCATACTGTTCGTCAAACTCGCGGGCGCTGAGGGAGGCGGCGTCGCGTCGCGGTATGTTGTCGTGTACGAGCCAGTGAGGCTGGATCTTCGCCGTCACGGACAGCCATGCCTCAAAGAGGGTGTCTGATGGCACCATGCCAAACTGCAGGCCGAATAGTTGGTGTTGTTGCGTTGCAGTCGTTTCAGTTGTTGCAGTGGCCGCCGTCGTTGCCGTTGTTGCCGATGACATTGATGCCACTGGCGCTCCTGATGCCACCGTGTTACTGCTTGCTGGGGGTTCTGTGGTCTGTGTTGATGACGTCCCGTCTTGGGTGTGGTTGGACCGGCGGGTGGTGGCCAGCTGGGCGTAGGTCCGCTTCCAGGTGCCGCTGTACTCCCATTTGCCGTGCATGTTGTCCGCCTGCACCGCCTGGAGCACGAGCTGCTTCCAGAGCTCGTCCGTGCTGGCGAAGACGTAGCAGAGGCGGCTGCAGCAGGCAAAGGCAGCGAGGGACGGCGCGTCCAGTTGCGACAGCACCTCCAACACCACCTCGTCCGGCAGCACGGCAAACAGGCTGCCCAGTGAGGATCGTTCCACCACCGTCCCACTACCCAAACTCGCCATCATCGATGACACAATCCCCAGTGGATGCGGCACATACTGCACGCTCTCGTCCTCCTCCACCAGCTCCTCCACCAGCTCCTCCACCAGCTCCACTGCTTCTTCGCTTGTCTTGGCTCGCTTCTCACACGGTTCACTCATGCTGCCGTCGTGGGTTCAGGTGTGTTTGCAGGCACGTGTCTCCTGCTTGCTGGTGGTGTGCAGCCTGCGTGATTCGATGCACGTTTATTTAGGGCGCGGAAAACCCCAAAACCAAGACAAGACAAGACCAACAAGACGACAAGACAAGACCAACAAGCCGACACCAGCCAGCAGACGGACAGGGTGTGAAGCGAAAGCGATCATGCCGCCCCGCCGCAGCCGTCGCGGCAACAAAGGAGGCCGCAAGGCGGCCAAGAAAAAGGCGATCGCGGACAAGGGATCCAGCAGCTCGGACAGCAGCAAAACGGCAGGGGATGATGCGCAAGGCGTGCACGCGCTCAGCATTGATGCGTGGTCACTGATCGCGCGTCACCTCACTAAAGAGTCCTTCCCCCCTGATGGCATGAGCCCCGACGTCATAGCGCTGATGCGCCTCATGTTCACGTGCCGCTTCCTGTACGATGAGTTGCCGTGGGCCATGCCAAAGTGGTGGTTTGGCAGAAAGTTTGCCCACCGGCTGATTTGCTCCTGGATCCGACCGGCAGTTCCGTCGCACCTCACAATCAGCATGGACGCCGATGGCTTCCCCACCATTATCACTCCCACCACCACCACCAGCAAGGAGGCTGCGGAGGCTGCGGAAGCGTGGGAGGCTGGCCGCTTCTTGGCATACTCGAGACTGGGTGTCTGGTGGGGATGTTCTCACCATATGTTTTCACGCATGGCGCAGGAGTCAGAGTTTCGACGCAAGTTTGCGCTCTTTGGGCGCGTCGGTTTCTCGGATGTGGTCGACATCAAAGCATGGGTCAACAACCCAAGGCTCATGGCTCTTGATCCCCCACCCAGCAGCGACACCAGCAGCGGTGCCAAAAGTCGCGCCATCACTGCACCGCGCCCGTCACCCCTGCGCCCCGCGGAGATCACCGTACATGCCAAGTGCATGTGCGATCAAGCGAGCGACGTCCACTTCCTCTCCTTTCTTCTGCAAGCCCTGGGAGACCCCGGGTGCGGCAAGCTTGATCTGGGTATTGGGTCTTCTGGCTCCCAACCCCACGCGCCGTTTGGCAAGCTGGAGCGCTTCAGCATGCGCAACGCACACAACCTCTGCATCACTTCCTCGGAGCCCATCGACCACCTTGACCTGGACAACGTCACCACATTCAAGTGGACCTCCCCACAGGCGCAGGCGGAAATCAAGGGCTCGTTTCGCCACGTGAATGAGGTGTCCATCAGGGGCTACGCCAGCGACCGGCGCACCATCTCTGACATCAGCGCTCTGGCAGGTGTTCCCAACGTCAGCTTCGAGTTCATCACATCCCTGCCCGACCTGACTCCACTGCAGCATGCGCAGAGAGTATCGCTTGACCATGTTGGCCTGAAAAGCCTCGCCCCGCTGAAGGATGTACCGCACCTGGATATCAGGGCCTGCGATGTTGCCGCCTTTGAAGCGTTCAGCTTCACCGGCGACCGCCTTGACCTCTCCTTCGTTCATCAGGTGACTGTGATTCACGCGCAAAACGCCACGTGCGTGAATGTCCGTTCCTGCAATCGCATGGGCAGGGTTGTGCTCGGCAGCAAGAAGCTGGATACCCTCACCGTGAGGAATTGCGAGCTCCTTTCGTCTGTGGAGCTCCCCAATGCCCAGAGCGCGCGGAAGGTCGGCATCAGCGAATGCGAGGCACTGAAGGAGATTGCTTTCGCCGACATGGCACTGCTGAGCCTGGACATCTACACATGCGCCTCGCTCGCGTCCGTGCAACTGCAGCAGCTGCACAGCTTCGACACCATCTGCATCTCAAACTGCACCGGCCTCATCGACTTCGGTGTCCACGCCACGGGAGACGTGGGTCGGCTGGAGCTGTCCGTGTGTCGTGCGTTGCGTAACGTGCACATTCACGCCGAACAGGACGCATCCGCTGTCGTCTGCCACGCCTGCGGCTTCACCGAGTTCACCTGTGAGGCGTCCCGCTTGCACGAGCTGCATATTGGCAGCTGCCCCAACATTGCAGCGCTGCACATACCGCACCTGCACGGCCTGCGTGATCTCCACGTGCACGACTGCGACGCGGTGACGGCCATTGGCGTTCCCGGCTGCAACCTGACACGCCTGACCGCAGACGCGTGCCCCAAGCTGGCCTCCCTCGAGGTGCTCTCTGCCAAGGGGCGAGCGCGCCGCAGCACGCCCCGCGCCAAGAAGGCCAAGCTCACCGCCGCCAGCTCGGGCCTCAAGCTTGCGCGCTTCATCATTGACCGGTGCCCCGAGCTGACGGCCATGCCAGCTGTGGCGTCGGCGCAGGAGCTGCGACTTGGGTGCCCGCTCACCACGCCCTTCCTCGAGTCCTGCCTGCCACACGTGACGAACATTACGCTCACGGGCGCGGCGACGGCCAACGTGGTGGGGTTGCTGCACTTGGTGCCGGCTGGGGCGAAAGTCTTGTTGCTGGACATGAAGGCCAGCGACATCACCTGCACCCTCCCCGCGTGTGTGCACACAGTGAGTGCAAAGGTGTCGGGCCCGTTTGATGCATCACGCCTTGCAAACGCGGACTACATCACCCTCTCGTCGACCAGCGAGACCAAGCACGCCATCACGGGCCTGTCATCCGTGACAGGCATCGCTGACGTCACCCTTCGGTCCTGCCAGCTGCAGAAGGGCGACAGCTTGATTGACTGCGTGTCTGTGGAGCTCACTGACTGCGAAGGCGCGATTCGCGTGGACGACGCGGATTCACTCGTGGTCACTGACACCTGCCCGTCTCTGACCCTGACTGGAATTGATGACGTGCACATGGAAGTCGACGAGGTGCGCGTTGACTTTACGCGCAGGGTGTCGTCCCTGGAGGTGTATGGCGGGCGCATCGAGGACTTTGCCGGGCTGAGCGGCGTGAACAGCCTGGCCCTGAGGGAGGTTCACTTCACCAACGTCGACTCGATGCCCTACTTTGACACTCTCACCGTGGAGGACTGCACCGGCAAGCCGAGGCCACAGGGCAGATCTGCCGCGCAGGCCGATGATCGCCAGTCGCCCTGGCCCGATCTCCACTGCCATAGCAAACCCCCATCAGTGGTGCAGCGCCGGCTGAATGGGACGATGCTCCACGGCATGACGGCTGCGGAAGCATACTACGACGTCATGGAACACCCCGACTCTGACGACGATTTTGCGTATCACGGTGATGACGATGTGTGGTTTTAGTGTGTTGTGTGTGTGTTTGTGCGCGTGTTTGTGTACTTGTGTATTTGCGTGTATGCTTGTGTATTTGCGTGTATGCTTGTGTATGCTGGTGTCTTTGTTTGCGCGTGTGTATGCTGGTGTCGTTGTGTGTTCTTGTGTGCGCGTATGGACGCTGTTTTTAGGGGTGGGATGTGGATTGAGTGTTGTGGTTGAGCTTGCCTCGTTCAGTGTTAATTGCCTACACCTCCAGTTGCTCTTTCGCTGTGTTGTGCGTTGTTGCACGATGCCCCCCCCTTTCCCCCAAACATGTTGCGCCTTTCTGATGCCAGTAGCACCGTTCGCACACCAACGACAAAGAGCGCAGTGCATGCGTGTTGGGGTTGTGTTCGGTTGTAATGGCTCGCATGTTCTCCACAAGTGCCGGCAAGCAGCGCCCGCGTAGAAAAGCACCGAAAAACAGACAGACACAGACACAGACACAGACACAGACACAGACACAGACACACACATACACACACGGACACACACACAGACAGACAGACAGACACGCACAAACATGGACACAGACACAAGCAGAGCCGAACACAAGAAGAAAAAGAAAAAGAGCAAGCAAGAGGCAGTGCATTCATGCCCGACAGACCTAACGCAAATGAGGCAAGGAACGAACTGAGAAGAAGAGTGGCGAGTGAAAGGGGCAATACACGCGCAAACAAAGAGATAAACGGGGAATGAGCCATGTGTTTTGCCAAACGCAACCGCCACGGAAGCGGCACCAGCATGCACACAAACGAACACAAACAATGCCCACGATCCTTGTAACAATGAAAATATGATGTGGAATGCAATGACAAAACGCAACGTTGCATGACATGTCACAATGGTGTCAACAGTGACATGAGCACAAGCAAGCAGTGCAATGTCGAAAGTAACACGTGAACTGAGGGCAATGTGTAGCGACTTCTAAGACGATAAATGGAATAAAGCAACAGAATGGAATGGTGAACTAACGTCAAACAAAACCGAAAAGTGGCTCTCGACATGAAGCCAAACACGGACAGACAGACACACAGACAGACAGACAGACACAAAGACACACAAACAGGCAGGCAGACACACACACGCACACACACACACACACACACACACACACACACACACACACACACACACACACACACACACACACACGCACACACACACACACACACACACACGGCGGCTCAAGCCATGGCGTCCTGGTGTGGTGGCCCCGTGAGCACACAGGGGAGGCCGTACGACGCGTCGTGCAGCGCGGCAACACACTCCTCAAGCGTCGTTGCCGGCACAAACTGCTGACGCAGCACCCAGCCGTGGCTGCCGTACGAGAGGCGGTGTGACGACACATCAAAGTTGTACGAGAGGAACAGCGTAAAGTGGCTGCTGTCTGTCGGCGTAACCACAAACGTGCCATCGGGCGTGTCGTGCAGCAACGCCTTTGCAGCAGCTCGGTCGAGTCCAGGCAGCAGCCACGTGTGTGTGTCTGCCACCACCCTGCGAGGCGCCTGTGCCAGCGGGGTCGTCAGCTGGGAGGACATCTGCTCCTGGTGCGAGTGCAAGAGCGCAACCGCGCTCTGCAGGTCGTAGCACGGCTGCGACAGCGGCTTGTCGTTCATCAGAATCATGCCGCTGGCGTCCTGCGTGAACATGTGGTGCACAGTCCGTCGCGAACCAACAACAGACAGCACTGCACCAGCCCGGCTTGCACTCACCCGCCACAAGTACGTGCCCAGCGCCGATCCTGCAAGCTTCTGCTCTGCCAGCATGCGATTTGCTTCGCCAATGTAACCCGGCAGGGCGCGTGCCTGCACTCGCATGGGGTCATCATCTCCGCTCGTCAGCGGGCGGCTACGGGCCGTCGGGCGCCGGCCTGTAGCGCTGCTGTCCACGTGGTCACCACCACCACCACCGCCGCCATCGCCACCATCGCCGCTGGAGAACATGTCCAACACGCGATTGTCTGTTCGCGGCGGGCGGCGGAGTGTGCGCGAGCGCTCCGACCACGACAGCTCCTCCCCCGTTTCTTGCATCGGCAGTCCGCGCGCGACGTCGTTGGTGCTGCTGGGAGCAGAGGGGTTTGTGGGGCGGGCTGTTGGCAGGGCGCTGTACTCGTTGGTGTCCAGCGTGAGTGTTGGTTTGCGCGGGCGTGGTTGCGGACGCGGCTTGCTCCGCGGCACGTCGTACATCTCTTGGTCGTCGGTGACGGCGTCGCCGGCATCTGCTTGTTCCAGCACCATTCGTGGTTTGGGGCGCGGCGCAGCGCGCGGCGTATCGTACAGCTCCTGGTCTTCCGGTTGCTCGGCCCCATCGCCGCTGATGGTGGCACGTGACGTCATGGTTGCTGTTCTCTCCGGAAGACGGGGTGCTGATCGAGGCACATCGTACATTTCCTGATCGTCCACACCTGATTCTGCTACGGACGCTGTTGCTGTGGCAGCCTGTGCTCGCGAGGGCACACGTGGGTTGTTGCGAGGCACGTCGTACATATCACCGTCATCGCCGTTACCATTGCCATCAGCGTTGTTCACGCTGCTGCTTCGCTGACCAGGGTGCACCAGGCTGCCATAAAAGTCATCAGCTGTGACCGTGCCACGAATGCTTGCTGATTTCTCAGGCACGCGCGGCTTGCTGCGAGGCACATCGTACATTTCACCACCAACACCACCAACACTAGCATTGCTCATGCTGCCGTTTTGCTGGTCAGGATGCATGAGGCTGCCGTAGTAGTCGTCACCCAACGCCTCCGCGGCTTTGCGGATGCTTGCTGACTTCTCTGGCACGCGAGGCTTGTTGCGGGGCACATCGTACATGTCCTGACCGTCCACATCCGTTCCAGCACCAGCACCGGCATTGCTCATGGCATGGTTGCGCTGGCCAGGGTGCACCAAGCTGCCGTAGTAGTCATCAGCAGTGACAGGGGCACCACGCATGCTGCCTGCTTTGTCCGGCACACGGGGCTTGCTGCGCGGTGTATCGTACAATTCGCCATCGCCATCTGTGGACACGGCGCCTGGCAACCCGCCGTTCACCCCTTGCTGCAGCACCAGCGTCTTGCGTCCTGCCAGCACCTCCTCGGGGTGGCCTGGCACGTGGTACAGGCTTGACTCCGACACCTGCCCATCCACCATGCCGTTCACAACAGGAAGGTTCGTTGGCGTGCCGTACAAATCTCCGCCGTTTGTGGGTGGTGGTGGCGGGTACTGGCTGTGGTTGTGGTTGTAGCTCTGCTGCGCGGCGCGCTGCTTGCCAAAATTGATTTCTTGCATGGGCACCGTCGCGCCCTCGCCAGCCACAGTGTAAATGCTCTCCTGAAACGTCCCTGAGTGCTGGAAGGGAAACATGCCCCCAGATATGGACGCTGGCGCCGCTTTCGAGCGCCGACGACGCGACACGAGGACAGCAATGAGCACAATGAGAACAATGCCGCCTGCTGCAGCACCGATGATGATGGGGAGCGGGAGCCCGGCCTCCGCTTCATCGCCCGTGGAGCGCGCAGAGCTGATGGGCAAGGACGACGAGCCAGCACGGCGAATTTCAGTCAAGGTCGCAGCAACACCTTCCGCAGGGACCCACTCCAAGCTGGTGCCGTTGCGAACCCCAAACTCAACCACCGTCGATGGCTGCGCCAACAGCCCACGCCGTCCACGGATCCAAGCGTTGTCGGAGTCGCTGTAGTTGTTGTCGTTGTTGTCGCTGTCACGGCTGCTGCCACCGCTGCTTCTCCTTCTCTTCCTCCCTTGTTGTTGCTGTGGGACTGTGTTGATGTCGGTGGTGGGGCGACCGAGGGCTTTGTCGTAGACGAGAAACACCACCACAAAGTCCACATTCAGCGCCTCCTCCAGGTCGCGCTCCAGCTGCTGCACGTCGCCGCCAAAGATGGACTCCGCCGTGCCTGCAAGCACCAGCTCCACCACCTGGTCCGCCCGCTCCGGTCGCATCAGCGCCTCAACCACCACCGTCCGCACCGCGACACCCGTGTTGCCGTTCGCATCCGTCACCGCGTACTCAACCTCGTACGTCCCCGCCACGTGCACGTCAATCGCTTCGGCCCCACTCACCACCACCTGCAACGTCACGTTGCCGTCGTGCACATCCTGTGCGCTGTACCCGGCCTCCACATACCGTGTCGCATACAGCACGTGCACCTCCTCCGCGCCATACAGCGTCACCTCGGGCGGCGTCGTGTCCACCACCACCACCGCCCGCTGCACACCGACAGCGGCGTTGCCCGCCCGGTCGTGCACGCTGTACTGCAGCACATACACCGTGCCCACCTCCGCCGACGCCACAGCAGCGTCCAGCCCAAACATGTCCGCAGCTGTCGTCCCAGCTGCAGTAGTCGTTGTCGCTGTGCTGCTGCTGTTGCTGCTGTTGCTTGTGTCTGCGTTCATCGGAGTTGTGGCAGCGGTGGAAGTGGTGGGACGTGGTGCTGTTGTTGTGGATGCGTTGCGAGCAAGCGAGAGGACGTAGTTGATGGCATCTTCGCCAATACCGCCAACGTCGCCTGGCGCAACAACACCGCTCGCGTCGCGCGTCACAATGCTCACGCCAACGCACACATCCCCGCTCAGGTCGCCGTCGTGGGCGTCGGCGCGCCGCCGTCCGCCTCAACAAACGCCGCATCTGGGCCGTACTCAAGCGCCTGCACCCGATCCCCAAGCAGCTGCAGCGAGGGTGGCGTCGGGTCTGCAACCCGCACCACGCGCTCCACAAACGCCACGTTGCTCGCTGCGTCCGCCACCGTGTAGTTGATGCGGTACACGGTGCCGCTTGGCGCCCTCGACTCCACCGCGTCCATTCGAGGTGAAGACCACACGCGCGGCGACAGCGGCGGCACAAACGCGCGCGCAGACGAATACGCGCACATGGTGGGAACAACGACGCCGGCCTCCTCAAGCTGCGTCGTCGCCACCACACGCGATCGCACATCGCGGTCAACAATGTCGTATGCACGTGCAATGCCCGGCTCAACCCACGTCACGCCGTCGCCAACCGTCACGCTCAGGTTCCCGTTGACACGTAGGTCTGGCGGCGTTGTGTCGATGATGGTGATGGTGCGCGTGACGCTGGCCGTGTTGCGGGACGGGTCTGTCACCGTGTATGTGACGTTGAAGGAGACCGGGGTGGCGGTTGGCGCCGCCTCGTACCCGCCATCGTCAATCACCAGCGTCAGGTCGGCGTTGTCGTAGTACAGATCAGCCAGCGTCACGCCAGGGTCGATGTCGCTGAAGTTGCTGCCGGCCTCCACCACCAGCAGCGCGTCGCCAATGAGCTCGATGCTCGGGGCCGTGCGGTCCAGCACGTGCACGGTGCGGTTGATGGCGTCGCAGTTGCCGGCCTTGTCGCACGCGTCGTACTCCACCGTGAACACCGCGGGCACAGACGGCGGCTTGCTCAACACGTTGTTGGCGACCACCACCTCCACCCCGCGCCCAATCGCATCCTCCAGCAGGTCCGTTGCCGTTGCTCCCGCATCGACATATTCCGTCCCGGCCTCGTGCGTGATGTTGTGCTCGCCGCTGATGGTGATGGTTGGCGCCATCGTGTCCCGCACCTCAATCACATACACCACCATCGCCGTGTTGTCCGACGCATCCGTCGCCGTGTACGTGAACGTGAACTGCGTGTCGTCGTCCACAACCGAGTTGAAGGTCTGCGAACAGGGGGGTGTGTGTGTGGGTGTGGGGGGGGAATGTGAGGGTGAGGAGAAAGTGTGTGTGAGACGGGGGAATGTGAGGGTGAGGAGAAAGGGTGTGTGAGACGGGGGAATGTGAGGGTGAGGAGAAAGGGTGTGTGAGACGGGGAGTGAGAAGTGGGAGAAATGGAAGCGATGGAATGGTGCATGACGTGGTCAAGACATAGCAGCGACAAGGAAGACACAGGTACAAGGGTAAAAGAGCGACTACCCACCGGCTCTTCGTTGCGTCGCACGTCACCGCCATTGACAGCGGTGTCGAATGTATCAAATGCAGACTGGCTCGGCAAGATAAACTCTGTTGCCGCCTCGTGGATAACCACGTTGTGTTCCGACACGTTGCGGTCGCCAAAACCAATGGTGATGACCTGTGATTGGTTGGCAATGTGTGACAGGGATTGGTGAGGAAGTGAACAGACAAAAGAGTTGAATGAGAGGCGAGGAGACTCGGAGGTAAGGAGACTCGGAGGCAAGGAGGGAAGTGAGTGTCCACATAGATGAAGGCACGCAACACAATAAAAACACACTCATGTACACACACATGCACGCACCCACACATACAGACACACAGACACACAGGCACACACACACACACACATATAGACAGACACACTCACTGGGGGAAGGGTGTCGACGACGGCTGCTGTGCGTGTGGTGGGCGGCGCCTCGTTGTCGTTCGAGTCGGGTGCAGACAGCGTGTACACCACCTCGTACATGCCCAGCGTGTTCACGTTCACGTCGCTGGCATCGTATTCCAGCAGGTCGATGCCCAGTGTTCCGTCCACGCGGTCCACGATGGAAACGCCGACCGTGAAGTTGCTGCGCATCACCTCCTCCCCGGCCTCCAGCTGCAGCACTGCAGGGTCAAATGTGATGGCGGGCCCTGTCGTGTCCACGACTACCACGGTGATGGTGCGTGTTGCCGTGTTCATGTTCGCATCCGTCGCCTTGTACGTCAGCATCTGGTCAGACCGCACGGTGCCTGTGCGTGTGGTGTAGTATGCGTATTGTGTGTGTGTATGTGTGTGCGTGTGTATGTGTGTGTGTATGTGTTCGTGTGTGTATGTGTGTGTGTGTGTGCATTGTGTGTGTGTGTGAGGTAAGATCCGTGTGAGAACAAGATGCAACAAGATGCAGTGCAAACCAAGAAGCGAGTGATCAACCGCACCCAGAAGGGCACCACATCTATTCACGGCATTCACGCACTCACTCGTGTCAATATCGCCGAGGTTGGGTGGTGGCGTCTTTGTGACGGTACCGGCCGCCGTGTCTGTTGCCGTGAAGATCGGGGGATCAAAAGGCAGCCCAGCCTCAACTGTGTACGTGTTTGTGATGACGGCGTTGTTGTCTGGCCGCCGCAGCACGATGGTGGGCGGGTCGTTGTCTGCAGCATGATCCCGTGTGTGTGTGTTTGAGGATGCAGTCAGATGTGAAGCTGGGCGGCGACAGCTTCAGTGCAAGCAGGCGCAAGTCACAGTCACCAGTCCTCTTCATATGTGTGCTTTCAACAACCCCACGTGTCATTGCACAAACAATGCCTTCCATGCACAACATCGCACCCCACACCTTCGCATGTGCGGTCGGATGTTGGTGTGCAAGGCAGCACCTCCTCGAACCCGTCCTCGCATGTGGTGCAGTCTGGGCAGCTACCACGCCCCGTGTTCAGCTGGTACTTCCCATCAGGGCACGTCTTGCACGATGTGCGCTGGTGGTTGAGGAAGTTCTGGTACTTGCCTGCGGTGGCACAGACGTGCAACAATCGCGTTGTGTGTTGTGTGGTGTGTATCAGAGTGAGTGGAGCAGCAGCTGCACGGCGTCACAGCAACTATGCACCAGCACCCTCGAAAATGCCGCACATGCATTTATTTTGTCTCATTATCGCAATGGCCGAGCCAACTCACCGATATCGCAGCTCCTGCAGGACGAGTCCTTTGTCTTCGTTCCGCTGACCCAGCGCTCTCCCCGATCGCACGTGCTGTAAGCAATGCAATCTGTCGTGCACATAGTTGATACGCGACAGCCAAAGCACGTGAGAGACATTGTTAGTGTACGTGTGTGTGTGTGTGTGTAATTGTATTTGCAGAACCATGGTTGCATGGGCTGAGATGCAGTGCCACCATCACCACCCCCATGCACGCCAACAGCACAGCACATAAGGGCAGAGCAAACGCAAGGGCCTGAACATCCATTGCGCATACCCTTTTGGCCAGAGCTCTTCTGATATTTGCCAGCACCGCACGCCTTGCACTCTATTTGCCCGCGCTCATCTTGGTGCTGGCCAGGGTCACACGGCTTGCAGTCCTGCTGGTTCGTGCCATCCTGGTAGTGCCCGTAATCGCACATTGCACACAAGCGGTCGTTGCTGGCTGTCGGTTCGACGGTCACCTCATACCCCGGCCCACACGTGGACCACGAGGTACACGAGGTGTCCTTGTGCGAAGACTTGGACTGGTAGTGAACTGCACATGAGGTGAATGAGTGTGAGTGAGGGAGGAGGGAGTGAGTGAGGAGGGAGTGGGGTGAGAACGTGACAGGAAGAGTATGTGCAGGCAAAGGAGCTCCTCTGGCACACACACACACACACACACACACACACACACACACACACACACACAACACGCCGCTTCGCCTCCTGATCCCTATTGCTTACATGATCCGCAAGGCGAGCACGTTGCATCCGTTGTGGACGTTCCAGTCGCCCACTTTTTGCCTTTTCCACATGTCTTCCAGTCGTCGCAACCTGTTTGACGCAAGAAAAGGGGCAGTGGAAGCAAGTGAGTGCACGAAAGACACTTATACACACACGCGAATGAGAAGACAATGGTGCTCCGTTTGTTGATTGCACAAAGAAACGACACGCCAAGGTGGAGGAAATCACCAGCAAAGACGTGCACATGTGTGGGTGGCTGACCTGAGGCGCCGTGTCCGCTTTGGAACGTTCCAGCTCCACAGCCCTTACACGATGTGTGCTGGTGGCTGAACTCATTTTGGTACGTGCCTGGCAGGAGTTGTGGTGGTGGTGATGATGGTGAAGACAAGGGGCACATGTCATGCCATCCATGGCAGATGAAGACAAGCAATGAAGCATACCATGGTGCTGATAACACACACACACACACACACACACACACACACACACACACACACACACACACACACACACACACACACACCAACCTGGAGTGCAGCTTGAGCATGTTGCGTCTGCATCGGCTGAACCCGCTGCCCACTTCTGGCCCTGATTGCACGACGACCACGCCGAGCAGCCTGTCAACGTGCATGGACACGTGGGGAGGTGAGGGGAGGCGGAGAGGTAAGAAGAAGGAGCGGGAAGCGTAAGGAAGCAAAGTCACTGGATGAACACTCGAGGTGAGCAACTGTGCGGATGGACAGTCGCACACACGCACACAAAAGCACATATTCACACACACATTCACACATTCACAGACACACACCACACACAGACCTTGTTGTCCCGGCTGGTCTGTGAACGTGTTTCCCGTGCACGGTTTGCAGTCTGGATCAAAATGACCGCTTTGATCCTGATATGTACCTGCATGCAACGACCAGGTAGGTGGGTGGGGAATGGGAGAATGGGTTGAATGAAGTGGGGGTGAAGTGAAGGCGCTGAACAGCATACAGAAGCACTCTTGACTGTGATGCAGCATGTCTGGCAATCAGGCACACCAAAGGAGCTAAGGAGAGCATGCACCGACAGGACACTCGTGGTGTACCTGCATCGCAGTTTGCACATGTGGAAGGTGTCGTGGTTGTGCCAGTCACAAACTTCTTGCCTCGGCCACATGACGCAAACTCAATGCAACCTACAAGCATGAAGCGGTTTGCAGATGTGTGAGTGTGTGTGCGGGGATGGGGTGAGTGCAATCATGCTTTCAGCGCAGGGTGGCACAGCACAGCAGAGCACACACACACACACACACAGACACACACACACACACACACACACACCTGCTTGACCGGAGTTTGGCTGGTAGGCGTTCATGCATGTCTTGCACGTGGTCTGCATATGGTCGTTTGCATCTTGAAATGTGCCTGGAGCAGAAATAAGCAACCAGCACGCACGCCCAGTGTAGCGACATAGTGAGAAGGGGGCAGTGGTGGGTGTAGTTGCTTTTAGGGAGCGGACTTGGAAGCGCCGAGAAGATGCAATGTCACCCCAAACACCTCAAACCACGATATTGTATGTTTTATGTTCATGCTGTACCTGGGTCACACTCGGCGCAATCTGAACCGACGCACTTCTCTCCTGCTTCACAGGTTGTCGTGCACTGCGCTGACACTGCAGGGCAAGCGCAAGGTAGAGGGCACACGGAGTGAGGGCAGAGACGTGTGAGCAACCGCCTCACCTCCGAACTCGACAGTCAAAAACAACACAAACAAGGGAATGAAACGCGCGTCTCACCTTCTTGGCAGCTCATGGAAAGCAGGCAGAGGAAAGCAATCACAAGGACTCCTGTGG